TAGTTCATGACAGTTTCAGTACAAATCAATTTAGGATATTTCAAGTGTACATTTTTTTTTTATCAAAGTCAATCATTTCTTTTAGACACCATTTTTTAACGGCAGTCTAAATGTACAAGTAAATGTGCCCTCAGTGTCACTTCTAACGAATATTACTTTTTAATACTTTATTTTTGTTTGTTATAATTCAGGAGACTGAAGAATCTGGGAGTATTGATTTCATATGTTTCGTTTAAAATTAAAAAGTCTTTGAACTTTCAACACTACAGAATTAGCATATTAACCAGTTTCTGACTGCATAATCTTTTCATAACAACGAATCCAAAATGTGTTTTGTTTTTATTAAAAATATTCTGGGATTCATTTATTGCAACAGGTAATTTTAAACATTTTCGCAAGATCTAATAATTTTATTGTCTCAAACGTGATTTATAACTGCAGGTTTGTAACAGCTTGAAACAAATGCTAATGAATGAATTAATTCATTTGCCGATCTCATTGTATTTCAAATTAATTTATTCTATTTGCCCACTGCCATAACCATGTATGTATATTTAGTAATAGAATGTCACTTTTACCATTAAAAAAATTGATTCAAAAATAACTTAGTAACTGTAAACATATGGTAATTTATAGAAAATTTAAAAGGAATGTTATAAAAAACAGAAGTCGGTCATTATTTCATTAAATATTAATATGTATATACAGGGTGTTATTGAAATACACGTACATATTAAAATGGGGAATAGTATGTAATGACCAAAAACGATTGGCACCAATTTTAACTTCAAATTCTAAAATTTAAATATTGGGGAAGAGTCCCCGAGTCCCCTTTTCCGACCTACTAGTTTCCATATTTAAAGAAGTAAAATAAATCGAAATTGAACTTACCCATAGAAATTGCACTGTTGCCGTAGCAAAACCAATTAATTCAAAATAAAGTTTATTACAGTAATTGTTCAAAATGCCGTCCATTATTATTTACACACACTTGCAATCGTCTTTCCAAAGAACTTTGAACATTAGAAATTAGTCTTGGATTTTGTCGTAGTTCCTCGGCTACCGCATTAACTTTATTGGTTAATTGTTCAACACTATTAATAGGTTCATTATAAACCAGTTGTTTCATGTGACCCCACAAAAAGAAATCGCATGGATTTAAGTCCGGAGATCTCGGAGGCCACTTAGTAGGTCCATTTCTGCCTATCCACTTTTGAGAAAATCAAATGTTCAAAAACTGCCGTACGTTTAAATCAAAGTGAGGAGGAGCGCCATCTAGTAGGTACCACATCCGTTGCCTTAATTGTAACGGTATCTCTTCTAGGAGTACTGGCAAAATATCTTCTAAAAAGTAGAGATATCCTGGCCCATTTAATCTGTTCGGGAGAACATAAGGCCCGATTAAATACTGATCTATTATGCCAGCCCAAACATTTATTGAAAATTTTCTTTAATGCCCAGTTTCCCTAATGGCGTGAGGATTTTCATCACTCTAAATATGCGTATTGTGCATATTGAACACGCCATCACGAGTGAATGAAGCCTCGTCAGTATACAATAATATTTTTAGAAAATCAGGAATATCAACACATTTTTGAATCATCCATTCACAAAACTCCACTCTCTTTTCTTCATCACCTGGATATAAGGCCTGGACTTTTTGGATGTGATAAGGATGTAAACTTTGTTCTTTAAGTGTCCGCCACACAACAAATAAGGACACTCCAATTTCAAGACCTAGTCTTCTACAACTTAATTGAGGCCGGTTTTCAACAGCTTCCAATATTTCTTCTTCGGCCAATGTTCTTTGTGTTCTTGTTATCCCTCGATCTGCATTGACACTCTCAAATTTTCCATGGGGTCTTAGATGCTGAACAGTTGAAATAAACGTACGACAGTCCGGAATTCTCCGATTTGGAAACCGTTCGCGATACAGGATTTGTGCTTGCCGAGAATTTTCTCCAGCTGCCCCATAAACCAGCACTATATCCGTTAGTTCAATATTCGTAAATAGTGGCATCGTAAAAAAATATTTAAAAGTAATCGTAACAACACTTTTTACCAACTTGGAAATGACGCGCTCGTGTTAGCCAGATTCGTAAATCAACTAAAATTTTAATAATCTATAGTTTCAAAAATGTATAGTTTAAAAACAATCATTTATCAAATATTCTAGTTTTTTGATAACGAGGGTAGTAAAAACCAGTCTTCGGAAATAGAAATTAATTCGAAAATCTTGGCAACATGGTTATTTCTTACAAGACTAGTTTTCTTATCATCTGACAAAAACTTGCATATTAATTACTGTTGATGTTTAAAATAGGTAAATAAACCTAATTTATATAGGTCATCCTCAACATATCAGTGAAGTACGTTTGTTTAAGAATTAATTTTCAAAAATTAATAACTCCCTTAATAAGGGGTATTTTTAAAAAATAATATTTTTCTACATTCAGTGGGGATCTGCGCAATACCCAGTTTTAATATGTACGTGTATTTCAATAACACCCTGTATACTTTTTGTTATATTACATGTGAGATTAAAAATAGAACAAAATGTATAGATTATTGATGTTGCCATTTGATCTATGGGCAAGGAAAATTTAGAAAAAAACAACTACCATCATAATGAGTATCTAGTTCTAAGAAAATTATCACGATATACCTAGTCAAATTGTACAAGTTATAAAAGTAAATTTAAAAAACCGACTTCAAAATGATGTCACTACTAATTGAGTTTGTTGATTTTTTTATAGATGCAATCACTAGATCCTTTCCAAATTTATATGAAGTACCCCTTTCTAACCAGCCTCCTCGATAACTAGGCCACAAGCCGCCTCTGTAAAGAACTGGTTCAGTAAGAACAATCTTATTATATCTTCCGAAAAATCAGCAATTGTATTCTTCACGTTTACAGTGTTGCCGTTCGTAGCGACTTGTCGTGAAAACAGCGATATTTTAATGATTTGTGAGAGTAGAGGCGATTTAGTCAAAATTTGCCAAAAATAGCGACTTTTTTGATCCTTAATATGTTAAGTACCAGTGTAATAAAATAACAATACGCTATTATATAGATGATTTCAATCGACGCCATGATGTGGTTGCAACGACCTGATGATCGCCGTCTATCAAAGAAAAAGTTGTCAAAGAAAAAGTAGGTCTGTTCTGGTTTTTAAAATTAAAACGGCTTTAAAACTGCGCCGGACCGTGTGCGTAAAGGCGAAAAATCCCCGACTGTCCGAAATTGTCGGAAAACCAGAACACATAAAATTTTAATGGAATTATACACTTGTGCGAGCGGTGTTTTGTTTATTGTTTTTTTTTTAAATCTCAGCTTCAAATAATTTTTTTTCTATATAATCATCATTATCACCCTCATCACATTTTAACGGAATAAAAAAAACGGGAAAATAATATTAAAAAATTAATAATTCTAAAATTGCATTAATTTACAAATAAAACAAGAGACATTCGTCCACACATAAACAAATAATTTGCGATTGTAATGTTCTTTATTATCTAAAAAGCAAATTATATATTCATTAAACACTTCAAAAACGCATGCGCCGTTAAAATAGTCCGAGTCGATCCACACTCCGAAGCATGAACATATTTTGACTGTTTACAACAATCACGGATTTTATTTCGGATACGAAACCAAACCCCTGGACTGGGAGATCCGAAATAGTCCGAGAAAAACAGAACGCTTTTTATCTACTGCGCATGAGCCCGACAGTTGTGGATCGTTATTTCTCAAAACCAAAACAGTCCTATAATTAAATTGGGCATTCCAAAAAATACACTAATTTTATAATTTTACACATATTTAAACAACATTAGGAATGATTCAAACAAATTTATGTAAAACTACTGAATCTGTTTACGAATCAGATTCAGATTCAGATTTTTTTAATATATTCTTATTTAAATTTTTTGTAGTTTCTCTAAGATCTTTAAAAAAATGTTTATTTTTAGTATTGTAGGCAATACAACACTTACGTTAGTGTATGTTTAATTGTATATATTTCATCCAACATTATGTAGCGACAAAATAGCGACTTTAGGCGAACAAAAATAGCGACAATGACAGATGTCGGTGCGGCAACACAATCAGGCGACATCGATTAAACACACCTAAAACCGTTACCTACTCCATGCGGATACGAAATTCCTATAAAAAAACAATACAAATAATTAGGTATTGTTTTAGACAACAAACTAATATGAAATATCTTCCAAAAAGACTATTTGATCAGTAACTAGACATAATTTATAAAAATTTATAAAATTGTGTTGAGATAAGATTTTTTTATCTTGAGGGGTCAGTTTTAGGGGGTCAAATTAAGTTTTTCTGACGCCATCGTGTGTGGTATCAAGCACGATTTCAAAAATATATAATACGTTTGTTTTTGCTACTTTATTTAACATTTGTTTTCGAAAAAAAAACGCTTAAAACTTGCTGCCCCTAAATTATCTTAAAAAGTGACACTCAAAAAAAAACTCAAAATAATTACAAACGTTGTGAATAAGATATATATTAAACGAATATAATTTATCTTCGGGATCAGTTTTGTGGAGGGGGTAAATTGAAAATTGGAAAAAATAATAAATTTTTGTGCCTTCGTGTGTCGTATCAAATGAAAGCTCTTTGAAATAAGTTTTCAAAAATGTATAATACTTCCGTTTGCGATACTTTTAATGGTTTTTTAACTTGTGAAAAAATTGCTGTCCCCAACTTATCTTCAACAATACACAAAAAAAAAAATAGGAACGTTAGGAAAATCATGAAATTGCATTCGGTAGATAGTTTTGTTTATACCAAAAAAATAAAACTTTATTGTATCTACTGATACTTTTTATAATCGCTTGGCCTAAATCTTTCAATTCTACTTATTTTAAAACAACTTTCTTACAGAACACTTGGTCAACTTTTATTTCATTTTTAAAGATGTCCAAATTTCAGTTATTCTAAGTTAAAACACTAGTTAAAGCCCACTTACCTCTAGCCATTATAAACCCCAGTAAGCACGGTCAAAAAATTTAAATTTTCAAATCTCCACCACTTTGTCACTCACAAGTGTCGGTACCACACTAAACCGATTGCGCGAAAACAAAAAACCGTATAACTTCTTGCCCAGTCTTCATTCGAATAACTTTGATAGCTGATTGTAAACTTTATATAAGATAATTATTCTAAGTGTAAGGATGCTGGTAATGAGCGGCAAGGTGACGAACATTGAGTTTTCAAACGGAGATCACAAATGAAAATTTTAATATGAAATAGGTTACAATGCGTTTTTCTTACTGAATATGTATGTACATATGTTATTGAACTTTTTGTTTGTTTGAAAGAAAATCGATAGTGGTACGAGGTGTGAGGAATAAATATTAACAACCAAATTTATATAGACAGTGAATGTGTTTACTAAGAAAAACAGTAGGTCAAACTGAGGGCTACAGGCAACTTTTGCAAGGGTTGCTTGAGGATTATTTAGCATAACAACGATACAAGTTTAGCTGCTTAGAATGTTTATTGTGTAAATCTCGTACCCTAAAATCTTAAATTTATTTTGAGATGTGTATTTTAGGTTGCTTTATGAGAAATGTGTTTAGGGTCAGAACATGTTCAAAAGAGTATTAGATAAAAGATGTTAGGCTAATGCTTTACTAACATATTCTGGTCTCTTTATTACTTTCCTATCTGTATACAGATATACCTAAGGAAAGTATAGGAATCATGATTTTTTTCGACCTCGAGTTTTCGACGGATTTTTACGTTTTGAGATCCCCTGAATCCGTTTTGACTATTTTCGCGATGATGTCTGTGTGTGTGTGGGCGCGCGCGCGCGCGCGTTTGTCGGGAAATCACTATGTGGCCATGCGCATAATTCATACTTGTTAGAAAAAAATAAAAGGAAAAACTTGCCTTAGTTGGCCTTCTAACAAAAATAGGAAAAACAAATGTGGTGGTTTTACTAATATGGTTTTTATTAGTGTGAACATCAACATAAATGGTGCTAGCTCAAAATTAGTTCATCAATAATCGGTAGAGTGGGGTGAGTATGATAAATAAATATATATACAACAATTTTAAATATATATATATATATATGACAGTTATTTGAATTATTAGTTGAATGGCTCTAAATCCTAAATTCAATATTTACCTATGCAGTACTTAAATAAATTAATCAATATTTCTTAATTAAATGATACTAACACATCAGAGTTGCCCCAATTGGTACCAATTAGTTCCCATATGCAGAATAACCTTATTTCTATACTAAATATATATGAATAAATGTTAAAATTAGCGAAAACTGAGTAATAGAGTAATATTTATAAGTATAAGTTCAGTTTTAGGGTCCCATACACATTTGATTTGAACCAATGACTGCAGATCAAAATAAAAAGGAAACGTCTTACTTGCACTAGGTCCGAATAGTGACGTCACGGTATCGTGCCTCGTACTACGGTGGGATTATGTAGTCAAATAAAGCATTTAGCTTCTGGCCAGTTAGGAGTAATTCAGGCTAGTAGAGGTTCCGAATACTGAGCGAAGCCCTACGATGTGTGGCTTGGTGATTCTCTGAGCGCTGCGCGCTGTTTGACTACAATCGACAGGTCCAAATCTGAAGATTCGATGAGAAGGAACTCCAAAATCCAAGGAAATTGATATATAAAGGGTTGTAAAACAATACAAGAAAAGAAGAAAAAAGAAAAGGCCTACAAGAAAGAAAATATATATGAATTAAATGAATAGAAATCAAGAAGGCTGTACTTACCGAAGAGATAGCGGGTGGCCTATGAGAGATTTTTTTATAGAAAATCAACAAAATCCTCCGCAGGTGAGTTTAAATCTCATGAATACTTAATATTGATTTTCTATTTAATTTTCTTTATTATTTCAGGCGAAAATCCGAAAAATCGCGAATACAAAGCACATGCTTCAATTCCAAAGCCCAAAAGAAAGATAAGAAAAAAGAGGCAAAAACATTTAAATTGATAAGAGACAAATTGCGCAGGTAAGTGCCAGGGACTTCTTTAATTTCTAAGGTGGATAACCTGATTAATTTTTAGGAAAGAAGAAAAGAAGATTATTTCTTAAAAATGAGTGTTTTGTGATAATTAATGTCAAACAAATCTGTCGTATGTCGAATAGAGATGAAATATGACATTTGCAAATAAAAACAAAAGGTAAAATATGTAAACATGGTTTAACATTAATAAATAATTTCAAATTACAAAAATATATCTGATTCTAAATTTAAAAGATATTATACAAAAAGGTAATAGGTAACCCATATTTGATTAAATATTTATTAAAGCAATGATTTTAATCATTTATTTGTAGGTATAAAATAACATTTGAAAATTAAAGACTATCATTTTTGAAACCGTAACATACTATAGTAGTGTGGCTATCCTGAATTGTGTGCCCATTTTTGGGACCCCACAATTTAAAACCAGCTTTAACGCATTCTACACGTTATGCTGATTCGAATGGTACCTACTTTAATACATTGACCCCAAAAGTGATGTTATAGGTTGTGCCAAAATGTGTGCTAATCGATGAGATGAGAGCAAACATTGTGTGGTCAAAGTAGTTGATCAGCAAGTGCTGCCCTCTTTAACCTCTTCATTCGGCGAACTATTTTACACGGATTATAACCTACCTTACGGGACAAGTGCAAATATTTAAAAGTTTTGAATACGTTATTTTATTATATGGTACAGCGCGGTGTTGCCGCTTCTGTAGTTGCTTGTAACTATTGAATATTGAATAAGTGTCTTGCATATTTGAATAATGTACAGCAGAGTTAGGTCGGATACAGGAAAAAAGTATCCGAGTACCGGATACGGATACTTACAATGTATCCGGATACTTTTTAGGATACTTTCACCTAAAAGTACTCGGATACATGTATCCGGATACTTTCTTCGGATACTTTAAAGGATACTTTTACGGATACTTTTAAAGTGACTTAAAATACTGTTTTCATACCAATAGTTATAATTATGCACAATAAGATTGATTACGAATAACAATACTAGGCATAAATAAATTATCGAAAATGAAAAGCGATATAATAGAAACAGGAAAAAACTACTCAATAAATTGTTTATTATTTTTTTTTATTGGTACCCTATTTTACTTATTTAAAGTACGCCTCAGCATGTTTAAAACGAACTTTTAAAAACGCGCGTTTTAAAGTTACCATGGCAACATCAACAACCCGAGAAACGTGATGTCTAAATGCCAACTTTTTAAATATTGATCTGACAGGAGTGCCTTGTAATGTCAAACAAAATATTTCTAAATAATTTTTCAAAAAATTTATTCACACATATCTAATTGCAACAGTAAAACGTCGAGACTTCACTGTCTTAGATGGTCGGATAGTAATAAGCAATACGCTTCCTTCTTCCTTGTTATCAGCTAAGCGTAAATCGCACAATTCACATCTTCTACAAGAGCCAAAGATGCCACAAATAGCAACCACCTTCAAAAATAAATACGTAATGTCCGGTGCATCTGTAAGAAACTTCCGCAAATCGTCTTCCTCGAATACATATGCCTTCTAGACTACCTCATTTTTGCTAATTGCCTTCATGAATGCATGCACTTTGACGAACGATTTTATATCGACCCCTTTGTTTATCCTCAACATACTTTGTAATTTTGAATGGATAGTCCACATAGTCGATACTTTATACTGTTCCGACATTTTCTGGAGATAAGCGAGAACAACTCGTTCATCTATATGTGTAACCATTTACTCTTCCATTAACGTGTTGAATTTATCATATTCTTTTTTATAAACCGCTTCGGATTTTTGTGTTATTAAGCGCGATTCTGCTTTATTATTTAAATACTCAATATTTGAACTCATTTTAAACAATAACAACTGTTGCGACAATTAATCTTACGTGACAGATTGAAAATAAATTTTTGTTTGTCTCATTTTCATGACAACGAGGTATACTGATGTTACATCACAAATTCAACTATTTTCAGTTATTAGTTCTTATTTCCATTTTTTTTAGAAATAATACCAATATTTAAGATTTCAAAGTATACCATTCGTGGATAACTGGTCTTTAAAACACTTGCTCTATTTCGAGCACTCCGGCTGCGCCGTCGTGCTCGAAAAATCGCGCGTGTTTTAAAGACCGTTATATCTACTTATACTTTAATATACTATTTATTCTGTGAATATAAAACATTAAAACAAAATGAACAATAAAACATAAAGCGCGTGTAAATAAAACGAGTTGCGCCTGACCGCGCCAGAAACCAGCCAGTGTCGTGTCCATATAAATATAAAGAAATAAGCTCGTTGTTGGCGCGACTTGCCATGTTTATGCAACATTTCAATATTCTCGTCAGTGTCAGATGTATTAGACAATCCATTTTTTGTGGATCCTCTGACGAGTGGTATTTGGTAGAGTCGAGAGTGTCGAAAGGAGGAGGAGTGATATATTGCTGAATGTTTCGTTCCGGCATAGGCAAAGCAGGCTCGTATATTTGATCTTGTCAGATCCGTATATTTTATTGATGTTGATGACGACATAAATACCACATGATCAGTAACATTATGAACAACAACGTCATACATGTATAAGTACATTATAAAACATAATCATTCAGCTATTATTATATCATTTTACTTTTAATATTTTTATTAAATGGAAGTAGGTAATAACCCGCTGATTTTATTTATATTTATTTGTCAAGCGATTTAAATGAAATTTTGGAGAGACATTTTACACGAAATTCTATATTCTCTTTTATTTTTATATTTTTTTACCTAAGCTGATTTTCCGAGATATTTTTTTAATTATACCATTTTTAAAAAAACTGGATTTTAAAACAAATATATACTGAAATTACCTTAGCTATCTTTAAATTCCAAATTTCTACTCTTTTTCTATTAAGAGAAATTTATTCTTCTATTCTTTACTTGATTTTTATTACTCTAGCGATATAAATGTATTTTGTTTACACATTTTATGCGAAATTCTAATTGTGTCTTAAATATTGTAATATTGAAGAATACGTATTCTATTTCTAATTATACAGAGTAGCTCAAAGTATTTCGATTATATATTTTAATAGATATAATATGGATTAGATCAGTTACGATTGTGGTAAATAATTTAAAAGTATCCGAATGCCGAAAAAAGTATCCGGTATCCGGATACTTACAAATTTGGTCACGGATACGGATACCGGATACAAAATTTGAAAAGTATCCG